TCTAGCTTTCACCAGCACTATTTGCAGCTCATCAGCAGTGGGATCCCTTATTCCCTGAGTGAACCAATTCACAGGTATGGCTGCTGTTGAGTGACTATTTTGAAGGTAGGAATTCCTCCAGCCACACCATCACCTCCCTCAGCTTTCTAAAAAGTGGTAGCCTGCGGGCCTCAGTCTTACAAGACACCATCCACCTTCCATTCCTGTACAAGGAATCCTTACTGATGATTATGGGGTCTATCCTGCCCCCAGGAAAGAAGCGACAGTGGCACCACTCCCAACAGGAAGCCAAAACATCTCACCTAAAGACAGAGCTTCAGCAATTGAAGTAACTCACACCCAAAGGGGATTCTGCACAACAGTCACAGAAGAATCACCTCGGTGGACTGATTTTTAAAATTCTCTTCCTGGCAACAGACACATCAAACCCTGCTCCATCCCACAGAGCCACAGGAGCTCCTGCAGTGCGCTCCCTCCAGCACGCTACAGGAGATACGCTGCTGTACCTAAACTGCTGTCACCTCATGTAAATCTAAGCCTCTGTTTCAGACCAAGAAAACTAATGTTAAGTTTCTGGGGGGTGTGTGTGGTGTGTGTGTTTCAGCAGAAAACACTTAGTTCTGATAATAACAAAGCCGTACCTAAACCGTGAAAGGTTACAGAATTCATTAGACTTGTAGATCGCTGGAAACAGATTTAATAATAACAGGCACTGACACAGTGTTTTGATTGCTAATAGCACATCAGTTGGCGTACAACCGCCACAGGCTCAAGTGCCAAAATCCGTTTGCACCTGAAGCTCACCTACACTGGTCAGGTCTCCCCTGATGTCAGTTCAGCAGTGGAACCACCTGATTAAGAACCAGAAAACTCCTGTATAGAAAAGGGTTGCAAAAAGGAGCCATGAAACGTGAAGCTTCATGAAATCTCAAACACGAAACACAGTGCTCATATGAAACAAGGTGAGACAGCCACCTTTTTAAACTTTTGCATTTTGATCCTCTTTTATGACTACTTGGTTGGACTCCATTTTTCAATACAGAAGTAAGATATTCCCTTTTGTATGTTTAGTACACCACTCTTGCATATAAACATAATTTTATTTTCTCCTTGAGTAAAAAGAGGTAGCTTAAAAGATAAATTCCCTGTGCTGGAAGGCTACAAAAAGACCGCTTTTTGTACAGAAGTTCCTTCTGACTAACCTGCACAGAAAGCAGAATTAAAACTTTCCTGCCTCACAGCTCCAATCTTGCTGTCTTGGCATCAGACTGTAAGAACCCAGCTACGATTTAACACATGGTGACACAGCACAAGATTACTTAGTTTTCACATATCCCAAAAGAGCAGCTTTTGAAGATGTATGAAAAGCCACATCCCTTTTGAAAATCTGTCCTATTCATAAGTTCTACAGAGCAAAACATGTGCTCGGTCCTCTCATCTTTACCTCAGCAGATGTGCTACTCCTGGAAGGCAAGGGAGCTTTGTAGAAATAAAACAGGTTGTTGATACTGAAAGGGCAGAATACTACGAACATTTGCATGTGAGCTAGTAAAGAGCAAGAGTGCAGCTGCATAAAGTTTTCATAGCAGGTAAGACTGGCTGGAGAAGGCTGGGAATAGACTTAACAACAGAACAAGTCTAAAGCAGTGGGACTTACGTCCCAGAAGATGTGGGTGAGATAATGGACTCCCCCTAAAGAGAGATTTTTTTGGAAAAATTCAAGTCAGGAATTCCAATGTGCCTGCCAGAACTCCCCTGAAGAAATTAAATTTTATGTCTCACCAGGAATGTAACCCTCATTTCCAAATAAGGCTCAGTTTGCCTTGTGTACTCACCCTGTCTCAGTGCCCAAGACAACCCTGGCTTTATTCAGTGACATTTTAAAACTGGTGTAATAACACCACATATAAAGAAGTTTATTACCTGTGTGTCATTTATACTAGAAATGAAACAATTCCCTTCCAGGCTCACAAAGCTTACACTTGCTACACTTTTTACATTAATTCAACAAGAACAAAGCAGTTTGAGTGACGCAGGTTGTTCCCTACCAAATGTAGATTCTATATGGTGGCCAAAAACATCTCAGCTAAATTTGGTGCATCGCATGCATGGCAATGAAGCATGAAAAATTCTCCACATATGAGTACCAGAAAACTGAATTGGAGGTTCCCACAAATTCCCCATAATTAACTCTTCAAAACAGTTGCTTGAAGAGTACCTTTCCTTAGGCTGACAGCCAAGAAGCTATGGGAAAGGGATACAGACAGAAAGGGACACAGACAAAACCAAGTGTAAAGAAAATACCATTATTCTTCCGATTAGAAATTGCATCAAAACCAGAAACCAGTAAGCAGGCAAGATAACCTATGAGTAGAATCCTGTGAAACTGGAAGAAAGGAAAGAAGCAGTTCTAGGAAAGATGCAACAGTGAGAATAGTCTTGTCCCTGACATCAACCCTAAAGGCAGAATTATAATCAAACACATACTCAAACGCAACTTAAGCACACACCTGCCAAGGACCTGGTGGCTGGCTGTGGCTGGTAGCCTACACAGGACAAAATGGTAGCAGAAAGTGCTCGACTAGGGAGAAGCTTTCCCACCAGAGCAAAGAGAAGAGATCCATGCTTCTGGACCTTCTTGTGAGCTTTGGGCAAGGTAAACACTCCCAGTCTGAAGAAACAGTGAAAGCTAAACATTCAGACTATGGATAGTTTGGATATATAAAGGTACAGATTTTACAATGTCATAGCATCAGCAATGCCTTCATAACGCTGGTCTGACATTGCCCAGCAGGTGGTGCAGGTGATCGGCAGAAGAATTTGTGTGTCGACAGCAAACTGCATTGCATCTAATTTTCCTGAAGTGAATGCACTGTGCTAGAGAAGTTCCCTGCTCCAGAGGAGCCTTCTGGGCCACCAGGAGTTCACCTGCTTCCAGGGAGATGGATCCTGTGCTGTGGGGCCTGCCTGCTTCCCTCTGTGGACAATATGGTCTGAGGATGAGATCCTGGTTCCAGAGAAATCGGGGACAGCTTTGCAATCATCTCATTGATGGACAGGATTTTGTCCTGATGGTATGGCTGGAGCACTGAACATGATGAGCATCAAACATCCCAAAGCACATGTCTGCTGAAGAGTGCAATTAAAGCAGTAGTATACCATAATACCTCTAGGGATTTTCTATGTGAAATGGGGTACTGTAATGGTCCAGCCACACAAGACAGTTCACAAAGGCAGACAAAAGAAGACAAAATACATACCAAGTTAGTCTAGGGGCATGGTTAAGCTGTTGACTGGTGACAACTGCAGTGAGTTTTTCATCAACTTCAATACCTAATTAAATATTAACTTTTAAAGAAGGAAATCAAAGGATCTCTTGATAACAACAGTATGTACCAAATGCACTCCACAGCCATTTTCTGAATATTACCTTAAATATTTACATTAGGATGAACAGTACTCAAAAATATTCTGTTGCAACATTCTATAAGAGTATTTTGTGGTAAACAATAAAAATCTTAACGTGGTAGGTAAATCAGATGCATTAGTTTCAGCATGCAACTCTGTCCTCATTACATTACAGGAAAAATGACAAGCCTATTCCCAATCCACACAACCAAAGACTTAACAATTTCAAATTTTTATATAATGCATTTAGGTGTCATCTTCCACTAAGGTACAGCATCATGTACTTTAGAAATGAATCAAGCAAAACCTTGAAGTGGTAAACTGTACTCTAAATGTCTTGTTCCATCTCAGAGAAAGAAGTGGAATCTTGCTGTGAAACAGCAAAGCCGATCATCATCATGGTGAAATATTTACCAGAGTCTAAAATCTAAGACCTGACAGAAAAGTTCTTAAAAAGAAAGTTACATTGTAGGCCTGGTACTGACTTCCACCCTCTTAATAAATTCAGCTTCTTTGGTGATGGGTCACTAGCAATGTTAGCATTGCACAAAATCTTGTTTCTTGTTTCTTTTGAATGAAAGCAATCATAATGCATTTTTAAAGATCAATTTTGATTACCCACCCTCCCCAGCTTATCTGGAAAACATGAACTAGTTTTTACTGCAGTATTAATCATTAGTGCAAAACTTCTTCCTTACCTACACAGACCTGGACAGTCACAGTATCGATACGCTTACGATCCGCCGTTATCACGTCACAGTTTATGTTGGCCTTTACTAACAACTGGAAAGGGTGATGTTCATCTTCAATCCAGTAGCATGTGGATACCCACTTGTGAGTGGATGTGACCTGATCTAGCGCACATTAGGGTAAGTCAGTCAGATAAGGCCTCCATGTGGAAAGAGGGCTATTGTAACAGCACAGGCAGACATTTACAGAAGACCTACTAGGGGGTTCAGTTGGTAGATCCAGTTGCATTTCACAGCTACCTATTAAGTATAATATGAACCATTACTTCTCATACAGTAGGTGCCATAGACTGCTGCAAGAGACTGATGCTAGAAGATCATCACTCTTTACAAATTCACTGACTGACAGTACCCAGGAAGGTGCAGATATTTAATCCAAATCAGAATAGAGCTGCAGAGAAGCTACACATCAGCCATGTTCCAGCATCAGAACGAGGCCTTCTTGCTATTTACCACCTTTTTATTTTGACACAGCCAAATTTCCCAAACGATCCTGTCATCAATCTTCTTTACAAAGTAATATTCCATTCTTATACAAAAGAAACACAGCTGTTTGTATATACACACACCTTGACAGCAAGTCCTTGAAAGAACACAGTAACATGAAACTACAGACCTAATACAGACAGAGCACTGATTTAGCTGAAAGCCAGGAAGTCTCTGCTAAGAAAGGCAATCTGTTAAAGTTCTCACTAGAACTTGCATGTTTTAACCAAACTTGTCACATATGAATGCGATAATAAGAATTGTGTGACCTGTTCTCATACAACTTATTAGTTATATTCTGGCTTATAAACTGTATCCTGTAATTGCTGCATTTAACTCAAGCTACCCAATACAGAATGGAATTGCCTGAATACATCTTACTGGTACAAGGAAGCAGCCTTGGTGGATGACCGTTACCAACTCTTTTCAGACACTGAATATACTCAATAGTAAAATTAAGACACAAGTGAAATCATAAAGCGTTTTGGTAATTATTTTTATGTTGGTTTTATAGCTTTTTTGGTTTCTTTAGGAAATTCCTGCACAGTAAAAGGAATGAAGAATTCCAGAAGAGAGTTGACCTCCTTCAGTTCCAGACTGTATTCCACTGCTATTTTCTCTGCAGTCCATATTTGAGGATGAAGTTTATGATTATTAAGAAGTGTCAGAGCCTCCACAATGGAAATTTTGCCTTTGGGAACTTTCTTAACGTCTAGATCTCCCAAGTGGCCTAGTTTTGTAAGTCTCTTTTCCTCCTGTTTGCATGGAAGATGTTCACCACCTCCATCTTTTACCTAATTGGGGGAAGGAAAACAAAAAGAGCTTAACAGCAGTTCTGTTTGCTATGCATACGGTAGCAGCCAAGTTGTTTTCCTAAATATGGCATTTCCTGTTAGCTTTACCCATTTTCACAGAATTTAAAAAAAAAAAAAAGCTTAGCTAGCTTTGCTTCTTGATATCACAAAAGTGTCCTTTCTTCCACTGCCATTCTACATATGATGTCAGCCCCCACCCAAATTTTGAAAAGCTACCATCACTGAACTTCAAGTGTTGTACAGACTCGGAAGCCCTTCGTACAAGGCAAACCACAGATTTTGGTAGCCAAACATAAATGTAGATAACCTAATATTTGGTACTGATTCATGGCAAGGAGGAAAAAAAAAATCATACTACAAACAAGCTTTGCTGGACAAAAAGAAACTATTTTGCAGCATCATATGGAGTTTAATTCCTGTGACTACTGCAGTGCTCAGTCATGTGAAGTTTCTTCTCCCAAGTCCCTTCATATTTCCAAGTAATTTCTAAACCAGCTCTGCCTTCCCCAATTGCCTTTTATTAAGATTTAACCAGTGAATGACACCCTGCAAAAAAGGCACAATGGACCGAACAACTACTACCCTCTCCTGGTTTTACAGGTAGGTGGTGACATTACCAGAAGTCCTAAATGAAGAGATTTCAGGTCCTTGGGAAAACTGATTAAGGGGTGAGGGGCACAAATTGTGTTCTCCTCCATCCCTTCAGTGGTGAGGATGGATGAAGAGTATCGTAGAGCTGAACAGATGAACTTGTGGCTCCAAGTCTGGTGTTACTGTCAGGGGTCTGGATTTTTCATTAATGGGTTGGTATACAGGGCACCAGAACTTTTGGCATTAGATGGAATGCACCTCTCCCAAAAGGATCTTTGGGAAGGAGTTAGCTGGGCTCATTGACAGAGCTTTAAACTAGATTTGAAGGAGGAAGGGGGCAAAACATCAGCCCATCTGAAGTGCATCTATACCAATGCACACAGCATGGGTAACAAACAGGAGGAGCTTGAAGCCATGATGCAACAGGAAAATTATGATGTAGTGGCTATCACAGAAACATGGTGGGATGTCTCCCATGACTGGAGTGTGCCAATTGATGGCTACAAGCTCTTTAGGAGGGATAGACAAGAGAGGTGGTAGCATGGCGCTGTATGTTAGGAACTGTTATGATTGCTTTGAGTACAAGTGTAGTGAAGAAGGGTAGAGCATTTTTGTGTTAGAATCAGGGAGAAGGCCAAAAGGGCAGATGTTGTAGTATAGACCACCTACCCAGGACAGAGTGGTGGATGAAATATTCTATGGGCATTTAGGAGAAGTCTCACGGTTGCTTGTCCTTGTTCTTGTGGGAGACTTTTAACTTCCCAGACATCTGCTGGAAATACAACACAGCAGAGGGGGACCAGTCCCAGAGATTCCTGGAATGTGTGGGAAGTAATTTCCTGATGCAGCTGGTGAGAGAATCAACAAGAGAAGGTGCCCTGCTGGACCTCCTCTTTGTGAACAGAGAAGGACTGGTGCACAATGTGGTGGTTGGAGGCTGACTAGGGCACAGTGATCACAAAATAAGAGAGTTCTCTGTTCTTAGAGAGACCAGGAGGGGGCGAAGCAGAACTGACATCCTGGACTTCAAAAGGGCTGACTTTGTCTTGTTTAGGCACCTGCCTGAAAGGATCCCTTGGGAGATGATCCTGAAGGGTATAGGTGTCCAGGGAGGCTGAACACTCTTTAAGAAGGAAGTGTTAATGGCTCAGGAGCAGGTGGTCCACAGGTGCTATAAGAGAAGACAGTAACAGAGAAGACCACTCTGGCTGAACAGGGAGCTTTGGCTGCAACTCAGGCTGAAAAGCAGAGTTTACAGCCTTTGGAAGCAGGGGCTAGCCACTCACAGTGATTACAAAGAGGCTGTGAGGCTGTGCAGGGCAGAAATCAGGAGGTCTAAAGCCCAGATGGAATTTAATTTGGCTTCAACAAGCAAGGACAACAAGAAATGTTTCTGTAAGTATGTCAGTAGCAAAAGACCAGGAAGAGTCTTCATCCCCTGCTAGACACAGGAGAAAACATGGTAACAAGTGATGAGGAAAAGGCTGAGGTCCTTAATGCCTTCTTTGCCTCAGTCTTTAATAACAAGACTAGTGGTACTGAGAGAATTCAGCCTCCTCAGCCAGAAGACAGAGACTGGGAGAACAACCCCCCCACGATACAGGAGGAGATAATCAGTGACCTGCTGCATCACACACACACACACAAGTCTATGGGATCAGATGGGATACACCCGAGGGTGCTGAAGGAGCTGGCTGGGGTGCTCGTCAAGCTGCTTTCCATCATTTACCAGCAGTCCTGGCTGACCGGGGAGGTTCTGACAGACTGGAAATTGACCAGTGTGACACTCATATATAAGAAAGGTCAGAAGGATGATCGGAGAAATTACAGGCCTGTCAGCTTAACTTCAGTGCCCCGGAAGCTGATAGAGCAGCTCATCCTGAGTATCATCATACAACACATGTGAGACAACCAGGAGATCAGGCCCAGTCAGCATGGATTTATGAAAGGCAGGTCCTGCTTGACAAACCTGATCTCCTTCTAACAGGGTGATCTGCTTATTGGATGAGGGAAAGGCTGTGATGCTATTTACCTTGACTTTAGTAAGGCCTTTGACAGTTTCCCACAGCATTCTCCTGGCAAAACTGACTGCTCCCAGCTTGGATGGGCACACACTTCTCTGGATAAACAACTGGCTGGATGGCCGGGCCCAAAGAGTGGTGGTGAACGGAGTTAAATCCGGTTGGCGGCCACTCACGAGTGGTGTCCCCCAGGGGTCGGTTTTGGAGCCACTCCTGTTTAACATCTTTATTGATGATCTAGATGAGGAGATCGAGTGCACCCTCAGTCAGTTTGCAGATGACACCAGGCTGGGTGGGAGTGTTGATCTGCTCTAGGGTAGGGAGGCTCTGCAGAGAGACCTGGACAGGCTGGAGCCATGGGCTGAGGCCAACTGGAGGAATTTCCATAAGGCCAAATGCCGGGGGCTGCCCTTGGGCCACAACAACCCCCAGCAGCGCTACAGGCTTGGGGAGGAGTGGCTGGAGAGCTGCCAGTCAGAGAGGGACCTGGGGGTGTTGATTGACAGCTGGCTGAACAGGAGCCAGCAGTGTGCCCAGGGGGCCAAGAAGGCCAATGGCATCCTGGCTTGTGTCAGCAATAGTGTGGCCAGCAGGGACAGGGAAGGGATCTTACCCCTGGACTCGGCACTGGAGAGGCCGCACCTCAATTCCTGTGTTCAGTTTTGGACCCCTCACTACAAAAAGGACATTGAATGACTCGAGTGTGTCCAGAGAAGGGCAACGAAGCTGGTGCAGGGTCTGGAGCACAGGTCGTACGAGGAGCGGCTGAGGGAACTGGGGGTGTTTTAGTCTGGAGAAGAGGAGGCTGAGGGGAGACCTCATCGCCCTCTACAGCTCCCTGAAAGGAGGTTGCAGAGAGCTGGGGATGAGTCTCTTTAACCAAGTAACAAGCGATAGGACAAGAGGGAATGGCCTCAGATTGCAGCAGGAAGGTTTAGACTGGATATTGGGAAGCATTCCTTTCCAGAAGGGGTTGTTAGGTGTTGGAATGGGCTGCCCATGGAGGTGGTGGAGTCCCCATCCCTGGAGGTGTTTAAGAGTCGGGTCAACATAGTGCTGAGGGATGTGGTGTAGTTGGGAAGTGTCAATGCTAGGTTAACAGTTGGACTGGATGATCTTCAAAGTCCTTTCCAACCTAGATGATTCTCTGATTCTGTGAAAGCCGCCTTAAATTTAAGAAAAACTACTTTTATAGGACACAGCCACTGATTAGCCTACAGACATTCTGTATTAACTCACAAGCTGAGAAAACTGATGTGGATGCTACAGCATCGGTAACTGCCTGTCTAACGATGCTACCAGTTCCCCATTTCCTCCTTTTACTGTGTGCTAAAACTGTGCTCAGACAACGAAAAAATTTTCAAGTCTTAACAAAATGATCTGTCTGTGGGTATCTGCCACCTCAGGACTTAGAGCTGGTGCTTTTCCACTTATCACAGATAGACATACAAAGTATATATTCAGTATAACATCAGGAAAGGAAGGAAGCTTTTAGATCAAGTTTTGCCCACAAGCCTCCATGCTAACATGTTAATGATGCTCTTTCTAACATCTGCAAGTAGACACACCACAAGAGCAGGTCTTATGTGTCAGTAACCTCAGAGGAAGCATGGAATCAAGCAACTAAGATTTGTTCCACTTCTGGCTTTTTCTCAAATCTCTCTTGACAGGCTTACAAATGAATATTGAAAGATAGTGAAATTAGACCTTCAGCACTTCAAGATTAGAGTCCTAGCCTCTATAATGAGAATTAAGGATAAAGATTACTTGGAAACTTCAGGGAGAGACTGCAGAAATATGTTTGCATTTTTAAATACTTCTATTATTGAATACAAGGTACTATGAAAGTTGCAAATTAGACTTAGGAATTTTATTGCTACATGACGATAAAACCTTTTATTACTGAATAAAGCAGCTAGAATAAAGTGGTCCAATAATGCAACAGGTAAAATGCACAAGCCATTATATAACATGGTGGAAAAGAGAAGACTGAACCCCAGTCTGCATTTTACTGCGTATGCTTTGCCTTCCAAGTCAAAGACTGCAGTCCCTGGCAATGAGGAAACCTATCACCAAAGAAACCAAAGGTTATGCAGAAAAAAACCCAAGTTGCTTCCTCAGCTGCATAAGGAAAAGTCTCTGCACAGTATGACATTAACATCAGCAGTTAAAGACACCACTAAAATGTTAACGTCTTTGACATCCATGCTCCCACAGCAATCCTAATCTCTTCTAATAACTACAAGAGATCTCTGGCAAACTCCTGCACCTTTGCAAAAAGCTGGCCAACTGTCCTTCTGCCTTAGAGGAAACGGAAGTGGGAATTTAAGTGAAAAACAAAGTAAGATCAACGTGAATTTAAAAAGGAAGACTGCGTAAGCATTTAAAAGATTGTACAATCATAATCTGATCTTGATCCAAGATCAAACACAGACAGTCCTATTGATATATAAGAGAGTAATGAAACATCAGTTTTATCTATAAAAAAGGTAGCTTTTAGGCACTAACAGGGCTTTTTTCCTTAAACAGAATTTGTGCCAAGTTTGAAAACCACAAGGCTGATGCTGGTATGCCTCCTACTGAGAGACATACTCACCCGCACAGGTGGATCACTGGACTCGACATAAACATCTTTTAACAAGGTGAGGAGCCTGTCGTCCTTTCTTAAAATTTCTTCTTGTATCTCTGAGCGGCCTGAAGGCAGTGGGGAGAAGAAAGGAAATAAAAACAGAAGGAGAGAGAAAAGACAGATCTGAGTCAAACTGCTTCCTTTCTGTAGTTCTGCCAGCTCAATCGCTTCCCCAGAGGAACGGCGCGACTCCCAAGGCGCACGGTGCTTCCCGGCAAAGTTTCCGTCTCCCACCGGTTCAGGCGCCGACAACGGCGCTTCGCACGGCCGCGCTGGCCGCCGGGGCCGCA